TCGGTCACAGAAAAGGGAATGAAATACACGAATGGCTTGGGTTATGAGAACTAGGGAGGATTCGGGTAAATCCCCTTGTTTCTTGAGGTTCTTTCTACCGAACGGTGGGCCGTTCGGTAGTTCTTACACGAATTGGCGGCAGTGTGGAGGTCTCAGCGGTGTTTGCCTAACCAAGTGTCCGATATGGGTTCCAGACACTCGACGGCAAAACACAGCTGTTCGGGAGTTTAAGATGGCTGCTGCCACGTGTTCGTCTCCCGAATGGCGGCCACCCAGAGGACAAAGTACACACTGCATGAATTGCCAATTACCCGTTTGCAACATTGTTGCGAACGGTAATTGGAGGCACACTTATTCCTGGGGTGGTCTGATTGTTCGATAGTTTCACTCGCATAATAACTGGAGTGATTTTACCGAACAATCAGCCGAATGCTGCATACACTTGACATACACATGGCAAAATTAAACTGAAAACATACGAATATATACATAATTCTGAGGACAGCCCACTGCCATCCGCTACACAGTGTGTAAGCTGTATCAATGATATAAAACTGTATACACTTTCTATTTTAGAGTTTGCACCATTTGAGAAGAGAATAAGCCGGAAAAAAGGGGGTACATGCATTTGGAGCTTGTATACTGTGCCTTTCATTATCTTGAAATTGACACAGTAATTGTGTGATTGTGTATTTGAAAGGCTTTGATGTAAGTGGGGGTTTGTGAGTCGGTTCGGAAATTTGTAGAATACATCAAGTTACCAAACAGAGATCAGTGTGAACACAGTCATCAACACCCACAACGTACAATTCTTTCTTAAGTGGAAGCTTTATGATTGTACCCGGGGCACAGTGGGATCTCCTCCAGAGTAATCTTTCAGTTCTTCTCTGCTCCTTCGCACCTTTTAGTGATGCTAGGGGCAGCACAGACATCATATTCCGTCTCCCGGCCTCACCACAGAGGGCATGAGTGACAGCAGTGAGGAACTGGAGACATGTCAGAGCTCCCTCGCTGCCGAATGCCCCCACTCTCTACCCCTGGTATATTTCAGCAGAGTAGACACCTGCCGTCTAGAAAACAGGTGCCTTCTCAGCATTACTGAATAAGCACCCACTTCGGTGGGTGCCTTAAGTTGGCCAGCTGGACCCCCTCTTACAGGCCATTGACCCACTCCTTGTGGTGCCCCGTACCCTCTGGTTTCTGGGTGTGGAGCACCCCATGCACGCACCCAGGATTGTCCCTGCATACATTAGCACGATAGGAGAACTTAATGCCTTGCGCACATTAGGCCTACCTTATAGGTTTTGGAAGGCACTGGACATCTTCATGCAAAGCTTTGAAATGTCCAACATCATTTCACAGAGTTAAACTCCATAAAAAAGCCAGGAAGCGCCTCTAGGTGCTGTCTACGCGGTAGCCCCTAAAGGCACCCTTAACCCTGTTTTACATTGCAGGGTTAAATCGGCACTGTCATGGCCGAATCCAAATTTTTTTAACCCCCCTCCCAACTCCACTACATCTAATTGTCCCTCTAGTCACCCACAAATGCCCCTAAGCCCCCCATGTTACCTATTTTTTTATCTTCACTTCGTGCCCGGACCTAGGTCATGGGTGCCGCCATCTTTCTGTGGGCAGATGAAGTCTCTGTGGGATGAGATGAAGTGGTCTGGGTGTCTCTTTAATGGTATTAAATTAGGGTGCTGTTTAGTAGATTTTTAATTATGGCAATCCCACATTAGGAAAGCAATTTAGGGAGTGACCTACTATATAGCTGGAAGACCAAAATTAAGAAAAAAATATACCTTTTTTATTAATTTTGATCTGTTTGCCTTTAGTAGATATCTCTCTAATTTGGTACTTTAATGTGGGGT